GGAACTGCTTTCTCTTAAATTTACCCATTTTTTTTTATTTTGTTAATACAAATGAAATGTTTTCTTAATGCGAAAAATAGTATTAGCACATACATACGTCACACATCCATAATACGAAACACATACATAGATACGTACGTACTTCATTTGTTAAGGTATGCCAAAATGTTCAAAGAAACTTCATTAAAGCTCCTAGTTTTGTTACTGTTCGGAAGCGTAACGATATGCAAAAAAAATGATTTTCGATATTTTTGCATTAACTATAACTTACAACAAAGAAAGTTAAAAATAAAAACGAAAAACAGTACTTTCGTTGAATATTGTCACTTATCTCCTAGATATCAACGACGATGGCTGGTTGCACTCCTATTGCTATCCTCGTTATTATATTGCATACTTTACTTGATTTGAGATAATTATGTTAGAACTTTTTACCCGTAGAACTTCAAGTATATATTGCTCTACTCTACTATAAAATTTTTCGTTATATCATTTATTTTTTAACTTCCCGTAGGGCAAGTTATAGTAATCGTAAAAAAATCGAAAATGAAAATTTTTATATATCTTTACGTTTCAGAGGTTTCTGAATATTTTGACATACCTTAGAAAAAATGGATGTATGTGTGTGGGTGTGTGTATGTTGTGTGTGTGGTGTACGCGTGTGTGTGTGCGGATGCAAATTTTCGTCGACGATTTCGGGAACACCGATCAACCGATCTGAATAATTTAAAAAACATTCGATTCGTATTGATAAGAAGACATTTCGATTAGTTTTTGGCGGAGGCAGGTCTAGCCGTTCCGAAGATACGGGGCAAAAAGTGCCAAAATCGTAACTCCGTTTTTAAGAGAACGGAGCATCCGATTTTAATAATTCGAAAAAACATTTGACTTGTATTGACAGATGAAGAATTGATCAAATTTTCATGAAGGCAGGTCTAGCGGTTTCGGAGATTAATGAAAAAAGTAAGAAAAAAATGCCATTTGGCGGTCAAAATGATCATTAAATATATGCGCATCAAATTATCAGATATTTTATAGAGATTTTAACAATAAGTATAAATTTTGTTTACATTGCTATCGTTCCGTACCATATTTATCCGTTAGACGGCGACGCGGCATTGTTGTCTCTATGCTGTTAAAGCAGTACGTTCATTGAAAAAAAAAATCAGAATTTCCAAATAGGTCAAAATAAAGATTTTTTTTTTCAAAAACATTTTTTTTAAAGAAAGTAATTTTTGTCAAAAAATATAGTTTTTCAAAAATCTAATTTTTCAGAGTAATTTTTTCAAAAATGTTTATCTTTTTAAAAAAGAAAAATTTTGGTACGGGAAGTTCCAGCAATTTGCCTTAAGGCACGATGCCATGCGCCCCACTAGTTTGAGCTGTGGACTTATAAGAAAATCTTTTTAGAAGGCAACCTCACTATTATGTTATCTATGTTTATAATTCGAATTCATCCAATATCGATGATATTTTTTCTAACTTCACGTGATGCAATTAAAAGTGCCGCGGAAAGGCTATTTATTACAATAATTATGAATCATAATGAAATCGCGTCGCGTGCTACGGCCGTAGCTCGGCCCGTAGCTAGTCGCGTAGACGGCTGGCAGGGCAAGCATCTCTTCGAAGTGTGCGACGTGCGTAATCGTCGTAATCGTCGTAAGCGCATCTGCCTTTTTCGCCTTTCTTCTATCTCTCGATTCGGCTCGGCGTAATCTGCATTCGGCGATCTTTTCGTATTTGGCTTGTGCTACGATTGCAGAGCCGCCGAAAAGGTATCGGGAATTTTGAGTCGAGTTTTGATTAAAGAATTTATTTATTTCTGCTTGATTTACTGTTTTTTCAGTTTGTTTATTTTATTAGGTTACGAAAATCTAGGAATGAGTTATATACATCAGCAAAATTTTTTCAAAATTCACTATAATAGTTTATGATTTTTTTCTTCATAAAAATTA